TGAAAAGGCAGCTTCTACATTTTTTGGGAAGAAAGGTGTTCTGTAAAAATAGAACAAAATTTTAAAGACTATATTTACTTTTATATTTTTGGGGATACAGAAATTTTTTTTTCTTTTCCTTTCCTCTTTTTCTAAGAACTGTATTATCATCCTATGCTGGAAGATTATTTCTTTTTCACATTATACTTTAAAAGATAGAAAAGGGGAAATGGTGTTTGGAAAAGACCTTTTGTAACTTACTGGAGATATCTAGTGGCAAAAATTTAATACTGCAACTTCTGGTTACTTGGTTTGAAGATAGCTGACCTTCAAAACACTTTTGAAGAGGAAAGATAAGCTGGGTAACTGTGGGAACTGTGGGGGTGGATATTGCCTAAATTATATCAAATATAGCCTCCACAAAAAAGAAAAGAGAGACTATTTTTAATCACTATCAAAATGGAGAAACCTCAGTCACAATTAAACTGTACACTTATATTGGAAAAGATCTATGAGGCTACTGCAGAAATATGTGCTACAATGAAAAAGTTTACTACAGAACTAAGATCCAGAAATTTCACTTCAAATATTCAAATGGATGTCCAGGCTACATCTGACTATGGTATAAATCAAAATATATTAGAAGAGGAATCAACAGGAATAAAAGAGGAACTTATTCTATCTTACAAACCTTCCATCTGCCACTTTGAGGAACAGAAGAAGCAAAGACTGAGATTTCAAACTACAAAGCAACAATGCTTCAAGGAGGAGAGAAATAGACGTCTAATGCAGAGGATGGGATTTCTAGTATTTCAAAGGCTACTGCAAGCAACAAAGATAGATCCACTGGCTGAAAGGGAAGCATCCCTATGGAAACCTTCTTGGCACAGGAAAAAAGCCAGAATTAGACTGAAAAGAGAAATTTAAAATTGTATAATGGATTAAAAGGCAATGTTGGATTTATGGTTTGTTTTAAGGATTATGATTTTAGAGTTAGAAGCAAGAAAAAATATAAACATATATACATGAGGGTGATTTTTAGAATGGATATTTTAAACAGATTAAGAATACTTTTTGGAATAATAGATATATTTTGACGAAAATTATGTATTGGAATTGAAAAAATATTGATTTTTTTTAGATTGGGATGGTTTTAATAATTAATGGAGTGTCTTAACTTAGATGTTTTTTGTACAATAACATAGATGTGATAAGATATGATAATCAATTGGATAAAATTTGAAGTTTGTGTAATGAATTGAAGTGAATTAAGGTTTAACATTATTTCTTAACTAAGATAGCTATTGTGTAATGGAAGAAGAAATAAATGAGATTGGTGATAAAAGGAGGGATGAGAGAAATTAAGAACTAGAATACATCTGGAAGGGATAACTGAATTGATAACTTATTGATTTAAAGTTAAATTTGATTTGGGTAATTGTAAACTGATAAAGTTTTAAAACAGGTTTAGTAGTAATAGAAATTTAATTTAGAAATGGAATATTTTAAACGTATTGTTATTTGAGGGAAATAGAGAGGAGACAGTGAATGTATTAAGTTGAGTTGTTTATTTATGTTTTTACTTTTGAATGTCTGATTACCCAAAGACCACAGTGTGTCCTGAGTACTTTTTCTTAAAAATTAAAAAAAACAATAAAATATTTAAAAAAAAAGCTGTACCAGTGTTTTATAAACTAAATCACTTGAACCAAGTTCAAATTTTTGCTTAGCCACTACACTCTATTTCTTTGTCTGCCATTCTTCACATTTAAATACTATCTTGAATTCCTTGAGCAACAAACAAATGCATGTGTGCATACATACATACATATATATACACATCTTAATCAATGTAGATATTCTTTTATAAATATGCATTTTGCTGTGTGGAAAGCAACTATAAAGTCAAGCAGTTTAAATCTGTTTGATGTGAAAGTGTCTGAAGTCAATTTACATAAAGAAGGAGTCTGATGCATGGAAATACCTGCCAGAGAACCTCATTCAAATTAGTCACTATGAAGCAGCTTTCCACTGAAATGCATTTAAGACCTTTTTTTGAAATAATGTACAGATAAAATCTAGATAATGGAATGACATTTTAAAAACAGCAGATTAGCTGACATTGTTGGCATAAACTAGAGAGAGTCTCTAGCTTTGGGTGGGGGATACAGCATTATAGTTGACTTAGACATTTTTTTTCAGTTGAAGAGTATTTCCTGTTTTATGGGAACTGTGGATTATCTGTTTCTGAAAAGAAGACAATACAGAAACTCCAAATTAATCATGTGTTCTAATCAAGAAATGCCACCATGCCAGGCCTAGCAACACATTGCCTGCTAGCCTATGAGGATTAATTAAATTACAGTCAGGCATTTTAATGGAAGGACATTGGAAGCTGTTGTCTTGGCAACAGTTTTAAACAGCTGGTTTAATGATAGGTGGAGAAAGGGACTGCTGAAAAACCTAGGCTTAGGGACAGAGTTGTCTGCCTCCCTACAAATAGTAAAGTGGAATAGTAATATTCCACTTTACTATTTTCAAATGACTTTAAAGTTGCTTTGTCTATCAAGTACGATAAAATCTTTTCTCTCTTTTTGGATGTAAGCAGCATTTTTAATAGAATAGTACATGTATTATTACTATTCATTTAATAGTTCTGTTAATGTTCTGATTTTCCTTCTAAGTTTTAGTATTATTTTTTTGACGACAAAACTAGAGTTTAAAATATGTACAGTAATTCCTTTTCTGGAGATTCAGCCTACATTAAATTTTCTTTTTTAATATATGAGCTTATCAGATACCAAATAATTGAACAATAAAATGGGATGATGAGTAACAACCAGGCATGAGATTGAAGTTGGCAGATTCTTTGTGATGAACAGCTCTTCATAAACAATGGTTTAGTTTCTGCTCCCATCTCAAGCATGGTAGTGCATCCATATGCTTTGAAACTTTCCTGCATAACAATGTTGTGTCCAGCAAAGTGAGAGAATTCCTGTCAATGAATACCACTAAGCCATCAGATGGCTTCATGGAACTTGGACTGCCTTACCTGGTTACAATAGCAGTAGCAATAACAATTAGACTTATTTACTGCTTCATAGTGCTTTACAGTCTTCTTTAAGTAGTTTACCCAATCAGCCCCAACAATCTGGGCCCTTATTTTACTGACCTTGAAAGGATGGAAGGCTGAGTCAATTTTGAGCCAATCAGGATCGAAGTCCTGGAAGTGGGCAGAATTAACCTGAAATATTGCATTCTAACCATTGCACCACCATGGCTCAATATTGGCTATAATATTTGCAGTTTGGTGCTATGTATGGATCTCTTTGTAAAAAAAAAAAACCCAAAAACTAATACTCTCGTATTAGTTAGTTCTTAGAGAAAATGCAATAAAAAGTGTTTCTCCATTCCTCTTCCCAAAGGCCATCAATTATTAACATTTGAAAAGAGAACCAGAAGATACTCAAACAGTAGGATGGCTTACAATTAGAGAGATTCTCTCTTGTGAGTGAGATTTGCATGACTAAATCTAATATATCATCAATATGAACTGACCAGTACTGGTCTTTTCAGTAGTTTGTCTGCTGAAATGTGAGTTTGCTTTCCTTTCTTTCCTTCAAAGAGCAAATTTTTGCAGTGAAGTAGATATGTGGATAAAAATGCAAAAACATTAAAACAAAAATTATAGATACTAAATCAATTATTTTGACTTTGTTATCTAAGGCATAAAATTCAAATGACAATATTATTGATGATTGAAAAAGTCAGAACAATCAGAACTATTCTGAATGAAAGGTATCAAGTAATTTGACCTAGGGCTCATTCCCAAAGGGAGCATCAAATTTAAACCTCTGCTTTTTTTCCCCCTAAAAGCAAACAAACAAAAAAGCACTAAACTTATGTTTCACTTATGTTGGCAGTACTTTTGTTCTGTATTTTATTTTCAAGTGCTGTCATCTTTTATTTTTATTATGACTACAGGTCTCCAGAGCTGGAGGTGATCCAAGCCTCTATAGATTGCTGATAGAGCTTGATAATAAACTAAAGCTTTCACTGATCACATATTCTGTTCAGCAGAAGATATTATATGGAAAAAATGCAAAAAATGTGCCAAAATCTGATGATGATTTTCTCCTTTTTTAAAAGTGATTATAAGTGACCACCCTAGGCATCCATCTGGCATCCTAATGAGAGCCAAGTTTTTGTTTTGTTAAAAAATGCAATACAAATTTCTGCTAGCTTGTAATTATTTAAGGCTTTAGCTATTATCCTTAAATTTCAGTTAGATTGCGAACTTGGGTATGAGAACTCCAGTGATATATATTTATATTGTGTATAACTGGTTCAGGTTTTATAGAACTACACACACAAAACATGTGTTCATACAGACAAATGCAGATACAAGCAGAAGCATACTGAAATAAGAAATTCTTGGATTATTTTCATGGAGAATACTACCTGAAATTTTTGAAGGTGATAAATAAATATGCTAAAGAATTTACACTTGCTAGGGTGTACATTCAAACTGTGCACTGTAACTCTTTCTCTGCCCAATTTCTATGTATTCAGCAGAAGATCAGAAAGTAATCTATCTTTGCAATCTGGCCCCTGATTTATTAGAACATGGACTGCATAGGAAATGACAGTCAAATTGAGTCCTACTGCCTTTCATACTGAATGCTTGGGGATTAAAATGAAAGAGTAGGAAGTTAAGGGCCTCTTTGTCACTCCAGTTTGTTGTTCATGCATTCAGAAATCATACAAGATGTTGTCTAATTAGATGGCTATTTATTTAATTTTTATGCTACCCTTCAGGAGGTTTCTAGGCCATTTATTTTACTGTAAAATAACAAAATTTCAAAAAAGTGATTCCATGTTTAGATTCAATTCTGACAGGCAGTGTATGAAACTATATTTGATTTCTGTTTCTGGTCAACAGTGATATCAGCCTATTCCCTTAAATTCAATAACAATGACTAACCTGTAGAATATCTGACTTTTATCCTAGATCCGAGCAGATGGGCCTCCTCATGGTGGCATTCAGTATGAAACGGTGCCAATTTTCAAGGATGGGAGTCATATCCTCCGTGACATGGCCTTTTCCACAGATCATAATTACCTCTATGTCATGTCAGAAAGACAGGTAATTCTTACTTTTCCACTCCTAAGTGCATGTATGCTAGTTTTGCAGCAGTGGTAAAACACTGTTCTTTCTACAGTATCTGTAGCATTTATGTCAAATGTGGAGATTCTCTACAAGAGGTTTATTTCTATAAATAAATTTATTTTTACTGAAGGCAGGTGTTAATGCACCAGGAGAGGAGGACCTTTCCTTCTCATTGGCACAAGGTTTTGTTTTGTTTTTTAAGAAATCCAGAGGCACTATGGATAAAATAAAGTTTGAGGATTTGGGCTTCATTTTGCTAGCAAAGTCCATCTTGTTGATTGGAAGCCTCATCTATTCATTTCTCTCCATATGTTTGGCAATAGGCTACATTTACACAGAATTATTTTGTGTTGTATTATTATTCTGGATTTAATGTAAGACAAATGTTTATGGTGATCAAATTTTACTTTATATGATATATTTGGATGTTAAAAAGTCCAAAGTAGCTTTTTTAAAATAAAATTTGTTTTAGATACGTTGGCTAATTTTATTTAGAGTTATAAATAAGGCTCCTTTGATCTCTTTGCTATTGTTTAAGAATCCATTGGACTGAAACTCTTTTTGCATTTAGCTTAACCAAGACTTAAGCATTCAGCTTAACCAAGACTTAACCAAGATTTAGTTCTTGTTTTTAAGACTCGTACATTTATGCATGTCAAGTTAGAGTTGCTTTTACTCTCCATCAAGGTGTGAAGAGTTAGAGATAGAGACTTGCTTTGGTATATCAGCTTTTTGACTCTTTGGTATTTATTATCTGCAGAACACTTGCTCTACATGTGTTTATCATCCTGATAAAATGTTCCCCTGAAAAAAGGAAACAGATTGCACCTAGCAATACCAAAATGACTGTAATGGAAATTTATATCCTTTGCAGTCCACTCGTGTCTCTTGCCTGCAGAGCCAATACCATGTAAATAATCCAGAACACTGACTCTAACTGATTGACTATATTCAACTCCTGTCGGAAATGAGAAAATGTACAAGGTTCCAGCCATGAAATCGTACTCTTGGGTTCACTGATTCTGTTAAGCATTTTAGTGGCTATCACTCATGACTTGATAATATTGAATAATTTCTTTAGCACTGTCTGTAGGGCAAGCAATGAGGGTATCCAAATTGCATTATATATTTCTGTATTGAATTTAACAGGTTAGGTATGAAAGTGACATACACACACACACACACACACAGAGAGAGAGAGAGAGAGAGAGAGAGAGAGAGAGAGAGAGAGAGAGAGAGAGAGAGATTTGAAAATGCTAAATATAAAACAGGTCGTACTATGTCTGTTCTTTATTTTTTAAAAAAGAGCAAAAAATGGATAGAGAATAATCCAATGCAATAACAATTGAACTGGCAACCCATTTTCCCTGTGTTTTCTTAGCTTGTTTGATAAAAATTTGTATAAGTCTGTCAGGTGTTATTCATTCATGACAGAGAATCACTGATTTTTCTAGTGAAAGAATAGAACCACTTCTCTATGCAGTTATAAAATAGACAAAGAATGTGATGCTTGCTTTTCAGAACTAGAGGAGGCTGCTACTTTACTTGACTAGTTTGTTACCCTCCTAGCCTATTTTAATGCTTAGATTGACAGAACCATACTAGGATAATATTTTATTGTCTGAAGTTGGTCTCCACCTTTATCTCTTGGCTATTATTTTATGTTACCTATAACAAGTCTGCTGCTTTATTCTGTTCCTGCATACATCTATGAAAGTAAGATCATGCAGGCTCATTTTTCTTATGACTGTTCCACAATTTAACAATTCCATGCCCCAGTCCACTCACATAAAAATAATTCTAAGAATTTTTAGTTATGACATTCCTCTAAGAAATATGAGTTCAATAGAAATCCTGTGAAGTTTGGCTAGCTAAAAGCAAGCTTAATTAATACCTTTTGTATAACTCTTCAAAGATAAAGATAAGATTTTACTCAGCTAATGGCAACCCCCATCACTCAAAATAAATATTTTGATGGATTTGAATCATGATAGTATTTTTTATCTTCAAATCCACAATTGATAGGCCTGCTTTGTCATTACTTTTCTATAATAAGCACAGGGGAAACATTTTATTTTATTTTTTAAAAAATGAGATGATATCTTATACTATATGTGATTTAATTCCTTCCTGTAGTACATGATACTATGTTGTACTTGTGCATTTTTTCTTGAATGTGTATGCATATTTTGTCACAAAGAGTTATGTAACATTTGGAAGCTTCTTAAAATGTGAAATCTTTATTTTCAATCTCTATGTAAACATGAAACTTTACTTGTAAATAAATATATTGATAAAACTGAAAAACAACAGCAAAAAAGCTGACACATAATCTTTTTACAGGCCTAAGGTATTAGCTGCCACCCCTCTTCTTAGTATCCAATTACATCAGGCCTTGACTCAAGGTGCACTTGTGAAGAAAGGTTTAATATCATGTATGTCATAAAAGAAAACACTAGTACTATATTAAGCAAAGGAAGAGTGTTGCTTATTGATGATTTAATTCCTTTCTTCTTTCTTAAGGAAAACACAATTTATACATTATTATGAATTATAAACATTTAGAGCAAGCGGTGAAATATCCCATAACATGGAGACCACCAAGAAGATGGGCTTCTGAACTCCAGTATTGTAATTTCACTTGAGATGGATTCAGAGAAGCCATAGACAGGTTAATTTTGGTCAGGAGAGAAGCTGTACTAAGTGCATGAGGGCCAAGCCACACAGACCTCAAATGTTAAAACCAGCACTTGATTAGGCTGAGAAGTCCTTTGATAACCAATGCAGAGACCTCCACTTAAGAGTCATCCCTCTGAACACTTTTTCCAGTCAGCAGTTAGATTGACATAATTAGAATCAACTGCATCTTCAAGCCCAACAATAGAAGGAGATGAAAAAGATAAATGTATTTCAGTCCTAAGAGCAGCAATTTAAATAGTTTGATAGGAATTTGAAATTTCACTAGGACAATGGCAGAAAATGAAAATGAAATGCAATGATACTAATATGTTGTATTAAAAATTACATTTCAAAGTAATCTGATCTGAATAACAGAAAGCTCCTGCTACTTTGAAATGGCAATGTTGCCTTTTTCTATACATATTTGGAATGTGATGCTTTGGACCTCTTTGTATGTGATATATATTTGATAATATTTGGGATATCTAGCAACCACAATGTGTTTCCTTCTTTCATTATGGTTAAGTAGTTTAGTTTACTGCTTAGAGTTTAGTTTGTTAGTGTAATTCAAATGGTTTACAAAATATGGAACCATAAAATCATTCATTAAGATACACTTATGACAGCTAAAGGCTGTAATAAAAGAAAGCAAAGAAAGAGAAGCTTATATTCTTCACAAAAATGCAGAGTATTTTTCTCTGTTTTACATTTCTTTCTGATTTTGAGCCATTTCTGAGTATAGGATGTTATATAACACTAAATCACATTTAAAAAGGAAAAAAGTAAATTGTCTTGGGTCAGACTTAACTCTGATAATTTCATGGACTCAACCATGTCATTTTCATGGCAACAGTAAAGTAGCTTCCTGTTGCTTTCTTATGGGATGCTTTTGGATTTCCCCATCTACTCTACAAACTTGGTGCTCTTTGCTGGTCTCTCATTTTAGTATTAAAAAGGCCTCATCTTGCTTAAATTTGAACCCAAATGTGGTCTGATGCTTTTGATATTTAAATGGAAAATATTTCATTTAAAAATCTTCTGTGAAACCATAATTCATCATAGTTTTTGTAAATTCTATAGATATTGATCTTTTTATTCTTCCTATCTGTACTTGTTCAGACAAAGAAACTTCTACTCCAAGTAAAACATAAATATTCCCATTTTTAAAAGAACAATAGAACTTCAGAACTCCACTATAAGGTGTAACATTCTTGATGTAAAAAGATTTGATAATGAGGCATCATGTACAAGTTCTAACTATTGGTGGTTTAATATTACATTTCTGTGAAGCTATTTTAAGCATGATTTTCAGACTTTGACTTTTATTATGATTTGTTAATTTCTAAACATTCAAATAGTTGAAAGGAATCTCATGATAACAACTAAAACTTTCAGATTTACAATTCAAAATATACAATTCAAAAACTTCAAAACAAAAGTAATATAAAGGTTTTTTAACACTTTGACACATGATAACATTCACACAAGTCTAAATGAAGTTAACAAAGTGACATAGCATTACTCTGCTCCTGGTAAGGAATAACCACAAGTTTAAAATCTTAATCTTCAGCTTTTATACTGATTAAAACAATTACTGTCTCATAATTGTCTGCAATTATGAAATATTAATAGATTTTTAAAAAAATCTTGAGCAAGCACTTTAAGGAATCACAAATACTAATGTGTCAAATTACAGAAGCAAATTATCTTTTTGTTGGACTGGTTTTTCTACTTTTCTCACACTGATCAAGACACTCTTAAAATAGCCCCACTGTTTAGGTTCTATCTACCTTGCATCTGTGAATGAACTTGCTTTGGTCACAGAGTTTGGTGACTGCCATTTTAAAGTTTTTTTTATATTCAGAGAATTCATCTGTGATTTCCAATAGCAGATATTTGTGGTGTGATAGTTCCTCTGAGAAAGAAATTCTTAGGTATGTATGGGTTAGCATGCCCAGCTTCAGTTTGGAAGCTGCACTGGAATCCATTTTGAACCAAATGTCTGTACTGAGTGTTGAACAGAAACACAACTATTCCTCCATTTCTTCCTTTTCATACTGCAAGCCATTTCTTGAAATGACTCCTCTATAGTTAATTCTAAATACCTGATCCAGTGAAAACTTCTCAGAATCATGTGAGGAAAGCTTCTCCATTTCATAAACTTGGCAATATATGTGAAATTGTTCATTCCAATAGTTTTCCTTAAACTATGCATACTATCTGCCTTTTTAACTGTAATTTAAAGGGAAAACATCTGCCTATCATCTTTTTTTTTTATTTAAGTAAAGTTCAAGAGT